ATGCTAGATTACTCAGCTCTCTGGCTACGTTCATACCTCGTCCGCCCGTTCCCTTTCCATCCCTCTCGCTGTCTTTATCCTCACCGGGTAGCTAGCTTCCAAGCCGGTTGCATTATACTTTCAATAGGTTGCTTTACGATCCTGGCTAACTATGCCAGTTACACGATAAACGAGTTAATGATCGACGTAACAGAATCGCGGCGATTTTACAGCTGACCCCTGGTCCCCGACAATTGATTACGCTATTCCGTTATTGCGACGAGTTCGCAGCATCGCGTCGCGTCGCGTCGCATCGCGTCCCGTCGCGGCTCGCATAATTGCTCTCCGCGCCCGGCAGAGTTGTTCGACAATTGAAATTTCCCATTTCGTGCAATTTGGTTAATCCTTTTCGCTGATGATCGCGTGCATTAACCATGCGGCTCCGCTTCCGCCGGCGAATTAAACCGGGCAACGCGAGATCGATCAATCGTTATCGCGTGCCGGTTCCTCCCGTTCCCCCGTAACTCGAGGACGTGTGTCCCCGATTGTCTTCGGGCTCTCCCCGGGCTCGATCGCCTCCCGGTGAACTGGTTTAATCCCGGGCCGACCGGTTCCGGTTCGTCAACGGCACGGTCGTTTTCGCCGATTTTATGGACGATAATTCATTCGCCGTTCGTGAGTCGCAACGATTCTCGCCGCTCGTGAATACCGTGAACGATCGTTGCCGGGCTGGCAGCGCCGAAACACGTTGTCGCCGTCGTAACTAGTCTCAACCGGAGGGGCGGCCGCGAATAGACGTCCGTTCGGATCGTCATTTACCGGTGTTGATCGGCGGTCGTGGTTGGTCAACCGATCGATAGGCCGCGGCCGGCGATCAACTATTCATAGCGCGAGCAAACGGCCGGAGCTAAATAGACACCGGGCCAAAGATGAAGCACCGGATTAGGTCCGAGACCGGAGACCGTTTAACGGGACGACGCCGGCAATTGTCGAGCGTAAGGAATATCCCCGCTGGGACCGGCCGACCGAACGGCCACCGCAGACGTTTTAATTCCTGCGTTATCCGCGATCTTTAATGCGCGCCGTTCGGCCTCGTACCTATACGCCGGGCAATGCTGGAAACGTCCCCTGTCACGCAACGAGAAAATTGGTACGGCTCACATACGCTTATATGGCCCCTCGTTAGCATACGTTAGCCCTTTCATAGGCGGCCGCGCTATTGCTCAAATAATGACACAAGATTGGCTTCGTTTTTGGACTGGAAATTCGAATTCATAGGATCCCGACTGGCCGTCGTGTGTGGAACCGCAATGATTCTTGCCGTTTACCGCTGTGCACCATAAAACTGAAACGGCGGGAGTCATGGGACTGCCCCGGCATCGTTTCCTAGTTCGTTGTACTCGGCCAGTTTGCCGAAGTAAAGGCCAATTTAGATGGAATCAGTTCGATAAGTATTCCCACTTTTACGGAATGCTTCATTGTTACTTGGACAGTAACAAGAATCCGCTAATTTTCGACTGCGCTTCCCTGACAAATCCAATCTAAGGTGCGCCGGAGAATCGTGCGGAAGATAATACTAGAAACCAGCACTTTGTTCGCTCTAAGGCCACCCTGTTAGTCTCTTTTCAATGAAAAAAGAAACCTCGACACGATTTACACGAGTCTATATTTCACATCCTTCCCGAATGTCGTGGCCTGCGGCCAAGTCTGTTCGTCCCGGTGTCTTACAAAGATTGATTTTCCTCGGTACGACGAAAGCAATCTTGATCGATGCGAGAGCAACGGAACACGTGGAAAAACTGTAACAGGAACACGGAAATCCTGGTATACCGGAAAGGAAGAAGGAGGTTCGGGTACGTCGGGGGAATATTTCCGCGACGGTCGGTAGGTAAATCCGCTCGCGGACCGTCATTCTCGCTTCACGGGAGATCGCATGTGTAATGAGGGGAATGAGATTAAACGCGACCGGGCGTCGTTGAAACACGGCGCGCATTTGTCGATGTCTAATAGAATATTAACGAACACAATCCGGAGCGCGCTCGGCAGGTCGGCGCGGCGCGGAAAATGCATTCAGTAGCTCATCGATCGACGTTTCATCACGGACGGCGGAATTGCCGTCGAAATGAAAAACAAGAAGGGTGATACGGGGGTTGGATCGGACACGGGGGCGTTGGTAGCAGGACGGCGCGAAGGGGCACCCGGGGGGTGGTATATCGTTAATTGTTTAATCCCGTCCGATTGCCGGGGATATTTTTAAATATGAATCCTCGAATCTAGAAATTGAACTATCCGATAGAAAATTGTGTTGTCCGATCGCGAAATATCGCCGGCCCGTCGAATGACTAAGTACGATTTGTGGCTTCATTTATGACGGTCCGCGCCGCGTTATTCTCATTCGTTCGGTTTTAAAATGTTCCGATCGATCGATCCTCGCGCGCCCCCCGGCACCCGCGTCGCGGCATTATACGCGGCCCCGGGGGGATGGCTGCTTAAACATTTCCAGGATTTACGGTGTTTCGCGCGCTCGGTGATCAGTTTTTCGACGAATAATTCAAACGCTGACGCCTCTTATTATATGTTCGCGCTCTCCTCCGCTCCGCCCGACCCCCTTCCGCTTCGAGCCCCGTCCGCACACCCCTACCGTTGTCGATCGACGACTGATTTATTCGGTTCGGTCCGTTCGAAAGCGTTCTCTCTCGCCCACCGATACCGTGGAAATAAAAAGCGGAAGCTTTATACGGATTTTTTCTTTGTCGCAGGTAAGGAAGATATTGCTAAGCCGCATTGGACATGGTTGCAAGGTGAGTTGTGCTTTCTTAAAACTTGTTTAAGAACGCTTCGCGTGTAGCGCCGCTCGGCTCGGGGGTGGTTTCTGCGGCGATGGTGTTGACGCGTTCGCTGATTAGCTTTTTGTCTTGAGAACTTGGCAATTTCTAATTTTCACGAAACACTCTGTTTTTGCCTGTATACCAGATAATTTAACACGACATTGCCTCTCTGAAATCTATCCCATCAACCTCCCGAGGATCACACATTTTAGTTAAAATATACAAAGATTCGTTACGCGATCGATCATTCGGATATTAATACGAACAGCCAATTAACTTAATAATATTCGTTTCATTCCCATCACGACACACCGAGCATCCATCAAACTGGAAACTTCCAAATTACAAAAGGATAATCGAATTTCTCATTAAAGCGCCCGATCCGTCAACGAGATTTATGAATTTGCTTTTGATTTCCCGATGTCGCGGGCGCCGTGCGCACATAACCCGCAGCAGCGCGAGCCAGCGAGCGCGTTAATTGAAACCTGTAACAAAAACCGATTGAAACCGTCCGTCCGGGTCGAGCGACACCGAGGACTCGAGTAGTCGATGAAGCCCTTGCCGCTCGTCGACACCGAGGCCCGTGGGGTGTTCGAACAGAATCCCGAAGTTTCGTGCCGAATTCGGATCGTGCGTGTCAGAGGTAGATTTATACGGGGCGAGGCGTGCCCGCGCGCAGATGCTGCGCGGGTATGCCCCTCGAGTTTCCTCGAATTTCGGTTGAGTCCTGCGGCATTCTCGGCCGACACGGGAGGCGAGCTTCCAAGAATAAAGAGTCGTGGGGTGAATTTTCATCGTAGGAGCCTCCTGCTCGGATGGTTCCTCTTTCTGCTCCCCCATCCCCCGGTGACGAACTCTTTCCCCCGCAAAGGCACGGCGAAAGAGAAGGAAAGGAGGATCGCGAGGAACAGCTGCGAGCGTCTCTTGACGACGCGACGGGAGGACACCGTGTGTTTCTCTTTTCCTCGAAAAAAGAAAGGGGGAAAAAAAGGGAGAAGGAGCAGGTTCACCGCGAAAGAACGTGTAGCGAGATCCCGTTCGGTTGGGGAGAGAATCCGGGACGAGGCAGAGCGAGCGAGAGAGGGAGGAGAGCGTAGGAGCCATGGGACGGGGACAGAGCGAGCAGTCGAGTCGGAGAAAGGGGAGGAGGGAGAAACAGAGAGAATACAGAACGATGCCTTCGAGGGTGATCAATAAATATTGGCTCTCGGGGGTGAAATTGGGGTAGCCGAGTACGGGTATGGCGACGGTGGGGCGAGAGAGAGAGGAAGAGGACAGTCGTGCTGCTGCGGTTGCCGCCCCCTTTCCTATGGCACACGACGTATGGCAGATATAACCACTTGGTATAGGCAATGGAGAATCGCTCATGGACCGTAATTCCCTCAGACTTTCTGATCGATACTCACTTTAGGCCATTCCGGGGCTACGAAAAACGCGGAAAGGGTAGCGCGAGTGCGCCTACCGCGGATTTACGAGGGAAACCGGCGAAACTGCCACCACTGCCGCCGCCGCCGCCCACCCAGGTCGGCGCTTGATAAAAATTCGATAGTGCCGCGACAGTTTCGCGCATCCACCATCCGCCATAAGTCGAATCCTATATGGAAATTCTCCGTGGAATAGATGTGCCGGCGATATCGGGGGCGAAACGTGTACCGGGGCTCGATCCGGCGAGCCCTGTGTTGTACTCCCCCGATTGCCCTGTCCCCCGGCGCGGGATTTCGTTCCGCTTGTTTCCCTTGTACGCCGCTGGACGAAATGATTCGAGGGAAACGGATTCGTTCGCGCGTTAATTGCCGGGTTAATTCGGTATCCGAAATTCCGGTTTTAAGGACGGATCGTTTCGGTCGTTCGTTACGGGACGTCGAAGGATTAAATGGCTCGGAGGGGATGATCGCGGGCTGGAGGGTCGTTCGAGCCGATGGGCTGCATGATGGGAGTGACTCTCGAGGTGTCTTGGCTTATCCGTTCGCGGCTCGTTTCGAGTCTTTCTCGCCAGATGCTTTACGCTAGATAGAGTACGTATCGTATTGGGGGGTTGTTGAGTATCGCAGAATGGAATTGCTGTGGAATGAAACTGCGTTCGTTGGAATTCATTATTTCAATGTCGGGTTAGGTACTTCCCGGCTCTGCTTACCTAACAAATCTGCATCTGCATAGCTAATAAATTGCGAAGCACAGAATTACAGATAAATCGTGACGTCTAAGTTCGTTGAAATCATTCCGATGATACAAAGGAGAACGTTGGAGACTCAAGAAAGCAGTAGCCTTCTTGAGCTAACAAGATTTGAAGCGTCCTCAAGGGCGCAGCAGGAACGGGGCGGGATTAATTCGCAACAGCGAGAGAAATTTCTCCCCGATCCCTCTCCCAATTGTCTACGCCATCTTCCGGTCTCCGCTAAATAGAAATCCTCGTACCTTGTCCGTGGAGAGGTTTCCGTGAATTCGGTTAGAATTTGGATGAGGAAACTGGATGCTTCCCGAGGCGTGAAATGGCTGCGTTAACCGCTTGCACGAGCTGAAACTCCCGCGCAAGGAAAGGGGCGGATTCTACGAGAAGCTTCTCTCTCTCTCTCTCTCTCTCTCTCTCTCTCTCCATCTCTCGCTCTCTCTCCTCTCTTATGCTATTCTTTTCGAGGCATCCGGCCAGAGACAACGTTGTTTAGTAATACTATGCCTCAGACTGCACCGGAGGGTGGTAATGGAATTTATGCGTTTCGGGCTTTTCCGTTATTCTTTACGGCCACTCCGCCATGATGCTTCTGTTAATCAGAGCCGCGATCGTATCGGTCGCTCTTTTTACATTTATATTAACCTCCCTCCCTCCCTCTCTCTCTCTCTCTTTCTCTTTTCCGCGGAGAATGTTATCGTTGCCGGTCTCTTCGCCGCGGAACAACGTTATTTACAACGTCCTCGCGCGACGGGGCGAACTCGGAATCCCTTCTCCCCTTTATGACACGCTGAATAACAATGGACACCGAAAGAATCTCTCTTCCTCTTCCTGTTCCTTCCATCGGCGCGCGCCAAAAAACAACGCTCCTCGAAACACGGTTTATCGCCCCACCGCCGTGCATTATATTACCCCGTTATTGACTCTTTTCCACGATCGCGCGCCGCGAAGGCGTGTCCGCGGGATAAACGCGCCGCGCGGACTTTATGCACCCCAACGAGGAAAATCCGCCCGACCGCCCACCCCACAAATTTATTAACTATAAATTGACCGGAGTGTTATCCTATTTGAAATTCCTCGGGAGTATTTCACCCGGCCGGAACGAACGGACGGATTCGCCACCCCTGAAGGCGCCCGGCAATCTTTCCTAACCCCCTCTCGTTCGCCGCCCCTTCTTTGTTTTTCGGGGAGCGGGGGAACGAGGATTTTCGGGCGTTCCGAACACGCGGATAAGCAATATCATCGTCCAGATCTCACCGAGAGGTATAAGACGGGAGTTATGCGAGCCGCTATGCGCGAGGGAATCGTAGATCAGCGGTCGGGACGTCTGCAGGGACGTGGAAGCGAACGTGAACGAAGAACCACCGCCATCATCCCGCGCCAGCCCCCTTACGTTCTTCCACGACCCCACCTTTCTTCCAAACCAACCCCCGTCGGCCCTTTCGGCCGTCCTTCTCTCACCTTTCCCGATCCCTTTTCCCAGCCTCCCTCTGTCTCCGTTCATGCTCCGAGTCCACTGGTGTCGTCTTTCTCTCCCGGCGTTCGTATCTCGCTATCTTCGAGACCCAGCCCTGGGTCCTTTGTGACTGCGTGTTTGTCTTTGCGCGTTTGTACAGGTTGTTTCATAATGTATGAGCGAACGTTGAGGGCGTGCTTATGTTGATAACTGCGGGGATGGATGCTGTCGCGAGTTCATGAGAAAATTGCGGTGGGAATACTTCTCTAGTCGTTGCCGGGACGATGAGTAATTCGTGTTATGGGTACCGACTAGTTATTTCGTAGTTTTTGTCCTCTTCCGTAACAATTTCGGGAGAAAAGTGAGAGAAGCTAGATTGCTCGTTTCCCGGAATATCCTTCATTTCTCGGACGAATGGAGGTCCAACGTTTTGTCGTTCAACATGCGACTTTATTGCGACTTCAGCTTTACAGCGGCATAAATGATTCGTTTTCCATGCATTTCGGATTATGAACCACCCGATACAAGCCATTTCGTACACTTGCAAGGGATCGCCGGCGTGTCGCGCGTGTCCCCGATAGTGTCTGTATATCATCGATACGTATACCTACGTGAAATGCCAAAGCGAGCGGATAAGGCGACGGCGGGGAGGTCCAAGTACGAGTTGTACACACAATACTGGGTGTGGCATCCAGGCCGAACTATTATTTTACCCGACGGAGGTGTATTACGGTCCCGCGAGACGCTCGACCGAACTCGAACTATCTTCGACGCCGCGCCGTGCAATTATTTTTCCTCGCGCGGAATAATTGCGCGCGGAATGCCAGGGGAGCCCACCCCCGCCGGATTCTTTCCCCCGAAAGCGAATATCGTCACGGCTGTTTTATTTCGCGGCCGGGCTCGCAGCGGGCGTGTTACCGTCACCGGAATTTCGTACGAGAAGAGAGGAGAGACCCGTTTATCCGGAATAGTTAATAAGCTTAGGTAATTGGCCACGGATAAGGGCGGCGTTCCCGTTGTAACGAGAATTAAGAGCAGCGAATGAGCTGGTTCCGTCTCGTGGTAGTGGTTCCATCCTATTTTTTCGCCGGTGGAACGTGAATTAAGTCCCTTCGCTATCTTCAGTCCTCGCGTAAATTACACCAGCTCCATGGAGAGAAATGGCCGCCTCTTCTTTTCTCCCCCGCGCCCGGCACCCCGCGCCGCGCCTTTCTCTTCCTCTCTGTGTCCCGGTGACCGTCTCGTTCCCTCTTCCTACTCCTCTGCTTTATTTACATATAGATACGAAAGCCATTCAGCTGCCGGGGAAAGCACGCTTCCCCCTGTTTTTATAGGGTTTATTCATTCGGC